TCTCTCTCTCTCTCTCTCTCTCTCTCTCTCTCTCTCTCTCTCTCTCAAACACGGACAGTCTGCTAGGGTTGCGGGGTTGACCACTTTTGTCAGAGGTATCGCTAACTCTGGGTGACTTGGTGAGTCTTTTTTTATCCATAGATCAAATGCATCCTGGGCAGACTGTCAGGGTTCCAACCCCCTGTTAGTTGGTGAAAGCACCAAGTGTCCACACACCTGGCTGCCCTGGAGGGCACACTTGGACATAAGAAAAAGGGACCATGCAAGAAACGGCGTTTTCTTGTGGAGTTATGCATAGCGAACATGACAACACACGGACTTGCACAGATTGTTCTTTTGTCGATTGGACATGGGTATGGGTAATCATGGGTTTATAAAAAAATGTTGGGATATATAGGGACGATGTTTGGTAATTGTTTACACAAATATGCCTGACAGCCTTGCTACCATCTTCACCCGAATAGAACGCCCGGTCATTATAGCTGTATTTGGCACAACTTTCAGCCCAGATACGGCGATAATTACTTGGGTGTTCTATTTGGGCGAAGACGGTAGCTCCCCGTTTTGGTAAATTTTGAGTGGATAAGGTACAGCTCAAATTAGCAAGCGATTCTTAGTGTTGTTCTTGGATTTGTTTCCTTTTCGGTTTGATTGCACGTCTTGTGTGGTATTCTTTTTTTGGCCTGAACGAGAGCATTTTCTTAACAGAACAGGACACCTTATGGGTCTGACTCTATGTAAGAGCATGGGCACTTAATTTGTGGTAGATTTGAGGTGTTTGGCTACGAGATCTCCTAACAACGGGGCTCGGAGAGTGTTTGTAGTGGATGTAACCCCCTCACGGGATGAACACCGGTTGCCACATAGCCCTAATGGATTTTTATCGGCCACATGGTCTTAGGAGGTAGGCATCCCCGAATTAGTGCTGCTTGGCCGGACCGCGACACACAATTGGTCATGACCCACATCGCGAACGCAACGTCCGGCCACGAAAATGCGTTGGGTGTTGCTTCGGAGCACATGTGGAAAGGACCAGGGGGCTCTAGGATACGTCCAACTGGCTCGTCCCGAAATATGTCCGAAAAACTTGTCACAACTTGTTTCTGGACTTGTCGCCAAGCTTTTCTTTTCTTTCCTTTTTCCCCCCAAATGCACGGGCCCGCTTGGGCGTAGCTCCTTCTATTCTGGACGTCAGTCCGGTTCCTATTCAACGGCAAGTCAAAAATACATGAATACCCCACTTCAGTGTTTCCCCACGTTACAGCCCAGTGAACCCTAACAGCATTGATTGCTTCCCAGAGGACAGATTGACTGTCAGTTAAGCCCATATGTTTAACATACTGTCTGTACTTTATCAGCCTCGGACCATGACACGGTGTACGAAAGTGGATCTATGCCGGTCATGATATCCATCCCACCCCTGCATGGTTGTAGTGACCTTCAACTCACACACACACACACACACACACACACACACACACACACACACACACACACACACACACACACACACACACACACACAACACCACGAAGGCATCAGCCACACAGTCAGTAGTCGCACACGCCGCGCTTCCCATCCAGCACAACTGCTTATCGAACGCTTTTATCCACGGCCCACCACATCTTATCCAACGCTTTCCGGGGTGGTTACCCGGTTCCAGTATAGTCTTTACTTTATCAGCCTCGGACCTCCTCCTCCGTGTACGCACGGATTCGAACCGGCGCCCTCAGGCTCAACAGCCGAGTTTCTTAACCATTACAGCCCTCCCACTGTCAAATTAACCCTTTGAAAAAGCCTGTTCCCAAACTGGTTCCCAAACCTGTTCCCAAACCTGTTCCCAGTCCCAGACCAGTTCCCAAGCCTGGTTTCAAACTGGTTCCAACGTAAAGGTTGCCTTGTGTCCCACAATATGGTTTGTGCTCCGAAGGCAAATGCCAGTTTTCCCCATGACCTGCTGCTACCTGCGGTACGTGAACTCACTCAAGAATCAAGAATGACGGGACGGTGGGCTCCCTCCCTCCGTCATTCTTGAGCCCACCGTCATTCTTGACTCTTGAGTGAGTTCATGCAGTGTGATGCTACTTTTCCTCGTGACCTGCTGCTACCAGGAACTATCTGGCATCTGCTGCTGTGCTACCTATCACTCCATATACACCATCCCCCTTCACTCCTCCATCTCCACCTCCCTCATCATTGTGGTCACACCCTGACCACCATTCTGTTCTAGAAATGTGTTTAATAGGCTGTTCCCAAACCTGTTCGCGAACCTGTTTGCAAAACCTTTTGTCTTTTCCTATTATTTTATGTGTCTCATCATTGCACAGTGGCCATTTTGCTATTTTTTCACCCTTCTCTGTATCGTTCCATTTTTTACGGATGCCCCCCCGAATGACACCTGCACCTGGTCGCAAACCTGTTCTCAGACTTATTCAGACTGCCCCAGTTGTTCAAATGTGGTATGCTCATGTTGATCCGGATCTTTTGAGTCTTCGGCGTCCGGACCCTTGTTGTGTGCGGTTCACTCCTATGCTGTTAAGGATTCTTCTTCTTTTTTTTTCCTTTTCTTTTCCTTTCTTTTCTTTTCTTTTCTTTTCTTTTTTTTGTGTCTGTTTGTGGACACAGAGAACTCCAGCACTGTTTGTTGACCGTGGGCTGGGATAGGAATGACAGGCATATTTGACCCAGAATAACTACCCTTTTAACCCTAAGGAAAAAAAACAGGACTAACCCAGGTTAACTATCCCATATTTGACCCAGAATAACTACCCTAAGGGGGAAAACAGGACTAACCCAGGTTAACTACCCCATATTTGACCCAGAATAACCACCCTAAGGAAAGAAAACAGGACTAACCCAGGTTAACAAACCCATATTTGATCCAGAATAACTACCCTAAGGGGAAAAAACAGGACTAAACCAGGTTAACTACCCCAAGGCAACGAACTGCATTTTCTTCTTCTGGTTCCTGAAGTAAAGAGCACTGGGCCTCTCAAAGTCTCTCAGCCATAATGCATTGCAGCAGAGATTTTGTGTTTATTCAACTTCAGTGCAGTTACATCATGTATATACATGTTGACGTGGTGCGATTCTTCTTCTAAGTACCCTATGTGCGTCTCATCTTTGTTACGTCTCAAAAGGCTCATGGCATGTATGCGCTGTTTTTCTGTGGCACAAACACATGCCCCATCTATTCTGGGGGGCGGCAGTCCGGTTGCTTATCACCGGCAAGCATAGAAACAGATGGGAAATGATTAGACAGAGATGTGGGGAGATGTCGGGGGGGGGGGGGGGGGGGGGGGGTATCAGGGCAGGCCCAGGCCAGCTCCGACTGCGGTTGGGTCATCGAAGGGGCGAACTCAGGGGTCACAAGTGCCAAGCCAAGAGCCGGGCCGGGAGGCGAGAATGCACGTAGTCGCACCGCTCTTGACCAGCATGCGGGCCCTGCTAGGCCTCCTCCCCGAGCACTCACTCCCCACCCAGAGAAATCAGACCGACTAATTCCTATGTTCAACCAATGTCACAGTTTCTCATTCTGTCCTAATTTAGTAATTTCCCTATATGCATCCGTGGTCTGAAAATGGCGCTCATGTATTTCATTGCGAGTTCAAGTTCCTACCCCGCCCCCGCCCTCCCTCTTCCGTCCCTTTCTTACCCTTACTCCCGCTTCTTTCTACCCCCCCCCTTTTCCCAATCCCTCCCTCCCTCCCCCCCTCGTCCCAACAAACCTCTTGCCGGCCGCGTCCTATCAGAACCTAGGTACCCAGTCCCCGTTCCCCTCCACCCAATTTATCCACCTGCCGGCCGCGATGTTGAGCGCCCAATCCCAGTCAATGGACTTTTGTAATGCTAAGCGCTTTTGTGTCCGCTTGTTGGTTGCGTTCACGTCCGTGCATCCAAACAGGTATGGTGCCAATGGAGCCTGGATGTCCTCCCTGGAGGAGCAAACAGGGAATGGGGATACCATTGTATACGTTGGAGTGGACGGTTCGATCGTGGGAGCAGTGGCAATGGCAGATGAAGTGAGAGAAGGAGCGTCTGCGACGGTGCAAGGGTTAAGGAAGATGGGACTGGATGTTATGATGCTTTCGGGCGATCGTAGAAGCGCTGCAGAGGCTGTGGCTTCGAATGTTGGAATTGATCTTGACCAGGTAATCACTGACTCACCGCGCAATCCCTTCCATGGGCCTTTTTCCCATCGTATGCGCATCAATAGCTCTTGCCGGTTCGTTACATCTTTACTGCGATTCATTAGAGATGACTAAACACCTTTTTTTTTTTTTTTTTGTGCAATTTGGGCCGTTTCTTGATTTATCCGTGTCATCCTTGCGCAGGGTCCATGCTAATCTTCTCTCTCTGTATCGTTCCAATTCTAACAGTTGTCCCGAACGATTTAGGGTTTAGGGTTGGTCGGTTGCTTGATTGGTCATCATTTGACCTGCCTCTCTGTCTGTATGTTTGCCCGTCCCTCCCTCTCTCCCTCCCTCCCTCCCTCCCTCTGTCCGTCCCTCCATCCGTCCATCTATTTGCTTAGGGGTTAAGGTTGGTTGGTCGATTGGTTGATTGTCTGGCTTGTCTATTTATCTGTCTGTCTGCCTCTCTGCCTGTCTGCCTCTGTCTGTCTGTTTGTCTGACTGTTTGTCGGACTGTCTGTCTGATGAATTGTCATCGGAATTGATTGTGTAATGACACGTGGCAGGTGTACGCTGGTGTAAAGCCACATGAGAAGGCTGCATTTATCAGCAATTTGAAAAAGGTTGGGAGGAAAGTAGCTATGGTGGGAGATGGAGTCAATGATGCTGCAGCTCTTGCATGTTCGGACGTTGGCATAGCCATGGTGAGCGGTGTCGGAGCCGCCAGTGAAGTTGCGAAGATAGTTCTTATGGGCAACAAGCTCACGCAGGTAACAATACTAAGAATTTAAGAAATATAACTATACACCTTTGCATTTCCCTTTGGTTTGGTTGATGATTAGCCTGTCTTACCTTCTTCACTGTGTTCACGATTGAATAGCTTAGCTCTCGAGCCTCTTGTTATCATTTCATTTGTTACTTATTCTTTTGTAATGTTAGTGTGACTTAATCATATTCCTATTCTTGTTCTTCATTCTTCAGGTACTTGATGCCCTGGTGTTGAGCAAGCTCACATTCAACAAAATACAGCAAAATCTGGTTTGGGCGTTTGCATACAACATCGTAAGTGCTCCTAAGGATCTTTTTCGCTCTTCCTCTCCTTCCCCCTCCCTCCCCCCTCCCTCCCCCTCTCTCCCCCTTTTGTCCTTCCTGCCTGCTTGCCCATTTGTCATGCAAAACGCGGACCTTGTTTAGTTATCTTCAACAACAAAAAACACTACCATTTAGAATCCAATGTAATCAATGGAATAGAAAAGCCGAAGGTTCAAAGTTGTAAAGATAGATTGCATGACAATGGACCTCGCTCCACTACACAACACACTCTATAGAGTCTATGTGTATCTGGAGCTGATAATCGTCCACATGCATTCAAATTTCAAAATGTTGAACTCCTCCTAATGCACCTGGTCCAAAAACGCGTCCAAATGTATGTGGAATGTTTGAGTTGTGGAGCAACGCCCAGTGACGATTAGTTTCAAAAAGGCGTCTGCTGGACGAAATTCCAGAGGTTGTATCACCCTTTTCCATGGAGGCTCCCACGCAAAATGATTGCACCGAAGAAGAATTGAATTTCAACGTAACACTTCGTTGATTTGGGTAAGGTAGAAAGAATCGAATAGGATCCAAATCGTTCCTCTTGGATTGCCCTAGTACGCTGGTACTTTGGATCTACCCAACCCCAATATCAAACAACATCTACAAGATTTACTTATATTTGGTGGTGAACCAAAAATGATTTTGCCTAAACAAATAAAAATGACATGCAAAAATAAACTAGCTTGGACTGAATTAACACAAATATGGCGAAGTGACAACAATAATCACGTAAAAGATTTTGATTTTTTTTTTGAATTCGGTAAATGGAGGCTACGTTGTAGCCAATTGCAGGTCATATAGCTTTTCTTCCTAAGAGTCTTCGAAAAAGCCGAAAAGTTTTTCATACTCAATTGAGAATGTTCTCAATCTTAAAAATGAATCCAAAAATTTTGAATATTGTAGTCAAAGAAATTGGCGACCAATGGATCATAAACCCATCCAGATGCTGCTAAACTTCAATATACCAGTTCAAACAGGCCAAGGCTTCTTCAAGATAAACAACTCACTATTAAAGACCGCAAGAATGACGGCGACAGTCCAAGCTAACTGGGCCATCAATAAACAGCGAGAGTCGAGGAGGACAAACAGCCATCAGTGATTCATTGACAGCTACACAGAACTAACACAGACTGTATCAGCAAAATCTAGAGATATTGCTAGAGACCGAAAAAGAAGAAAGGAAGAACTCCAATTTGCGATGGTCGTCGCAGAAGAAAATCTGGTGGAAAATCCAACCAGTAGTTTCTACCAAGAACTACTAGATGACACCAAAGAGGAACTAAACGAATGGAGAAGATGGGAACTTAGAGGTCTACAAATACGAGCAAGGATGACAGACTATGCACTGAACGAGTCGATGACAAAATTCTTCTTCTCCAAAATCAAGGCAAACGCTAGGAATAACATGATAGAGGCACTCAAGGACCCATCGGATGCAGGAAAAACAAAAACAACAGGCCCAGAGATGGTAGGGATAGCCAGAGCCTTTTACGCAGATCTGTACGAGTCCAAGACCCCCTCACCCCCGACAACAGCGAACCTACAAGCCCGCCGACTGATGCTATCGTACCTCGACAGAACCATCTCCACTAGTCAGGCGGAAGGCTTGGATAAACCACTGACCCTGACCAAACTACAAACAGCCTTGAACCAGATGGGAAATGACAAAGCCCCGGGCATGGACGACCTCTCTAAGGAATTCTGGAGCTGCTTCTGGCCGACCTTGGGAGAGGACCTACTCGACTTTTTCAACGATAGCATGCGCAAAGGAGGACTAGGTAAGGAACTGAGCACCAGCGTGGTCTCACTGTTATACAAGAAGGGATACAAAGAAGACCTGAAAAACTACAGACCAATCTCCCTCCTAACCACGCCATACAAAATCCTTGCCAAGGCGCTTGCGAACAGAATCACAAAACTGAAGAACAACTGTTTTCACATCGACCAAGCGGGCTTCATACCAGGTCGATACATACTGGACAACGTGATGACTCTGAATAAGGCGGCAAAAAAGATAACGGAAAAACTAATGAAGGCAGCAATCCTCTTCTTCGACTTCAAGAAAGCCTACGACCAAGTTAACTGGGATTTTCTCCACGCTTGCATGGAAAAAATGGGTGTAGGCCCGAACTTCAGAAGCTGGGTGAGAATCCTGTACGCAGATGCAACAGTAATAGTCCAGGTCAATAGAATCCTATCAGAAACCTACCCAATCTCACGGTCAGTCAGACAAGGCGACCCACTGGCTCCCCCCATATTTCTCTTCATAATGGAAGCCATAGCCTCATTTCTCCGCAAAGACCCGTCCATCGACCGCCTCACATAACGGAACTTCAACCCGCTACACGACTTCGCCCTACCCACAGCACTCATGTTCGCCGACGACCTTACGGTACTCATTAGAGCAAACAAGAGCTCCTTCCAATCACTGGTAAGGGCAATGGAAGCATTCAGACTGGCTTCAGAAATGAGGGTCAATTGGAATAAAACCGAAGGCTGGTGGTTAGCAGACGGCCCCCCTCCCCAACCTCCGAACACAACTACACCCATGAATTGGACCGCGGGAGAACAAGCACTACGGTTCCTGGGCATCATGGTTAACAAGGAAGGAGTGTGGCCGAGAATGGGCCAGAATCTGATAGCAAGAGCAATCTCCCGCCTGGCCCTGTGCAAAAACGCCCAGGCCTCACTAATCAGACGGGCACTGCTCACAGCCATTTTCTCTACACTGTGGTACATGGCATCAATCTGGTCCCCCCCCGACGACGACCTCAAGGAGCTCAAGAACAGGGTGAGGTGCTACCTGTGGACAGGTGACCCCAACAGGACCACCTGCATTAACAGGGTCGCATGGAACCATATCACTAGGAAGCCACAGGAAGGGGGCCTCGGGATAATCGACCCAAAACAAGAATCCATAGCACTGCAGATGAACTGGATAATCAAGATTCTCACCAGACAATTCCTCCCGTGGACCCAAATGGCGCTAGACAGCATCAGAAATCTGGCTCCCATCAACCCCCCTCGAAACATGAACGGCCTGTTCTGGCTTATGGCAAAGGACTGGACAATCAAGTCCGGCAGACCACGCAGAAGAAATCCCGCACAGCACAATCCTGCACAGCTCAACACAAACCCAACTCACACAGTCAGCAAATATTGGAGCTCCACCATCAAAGCCTGGCGCAGGGCTCCAGCAAACAGAGAAAAAGTCCTGAGACAACCACTATTCTGCAACCCCTGGATCACCGACCCCAGTGGAACAACCTGGACCCTACGCGGTCGGGACCGCAGATGGCTATCTTGGGTAGAGAGAGGAGTATGGCAGGTCAAGCACATCTGGGCAGAAGACCAAGGACGGTGGGCAACGGAGCAGGAACTACACAACACATTAAAGGGCTGCCACGCCCTCGCTGAAAACGCTGATTCAGAATAGCATCCCAACACAATGGCTCCCCCTCCTAAGAGAGGAATTCTCGTGGAAACCCGGGGACTGGGGCATACTAATCTCCCAAGCCCAGCCTACCAGAGCATACGGATTCGTCGCCAGGACAAGCCCATCTGGCTACCTATCCAAGTTTTTTTCCTACCCGGTAGTGAAACACAGCACATACGAAATGGAAGCCCAGAACAACGACCCCCAGAGCGAGATGCTGGAGACCTTCCGACTGAGAAAAGTGAGGGTATCAAAGTCCAAACCCTTGAAAATCTTCCGACCAGATGTCTGCATCTCAGAACTAGAATTTGACCCGAAAGAATGGATATGGAAACAGGGGAACTCAGGGAGGACGAGAACGATAACAGAATACGATGTCAAATTCGGTTACGAGCTAGGCCTACAGACCACAGACCCAGATCCTAGACTCAAAAGCAAATGGAGGGACATACTGAATCTGGACCCCTCGACCCCCATATCCATCCCGTGGACTAAATTCCTAACCATTAGACCGACGAGGATTCGAAGCATGCAATGGCTCATAGCGCAAACATCATTGCCAACCAATCAATGGCTCCACAAGAGGAGAAAACACACAGTCTGAAAAATACTCAGACTTTGCACAGTCAACGCCATAGAAGACATACTCCACTGCCTCCTATACTGCACGGAAGCAACATGGATTTGGAACAAAGTGCGTGACCTATGGACCATTCTTTTCTCTTCACCTCCCCCGACCACAACCCCCCTGAACATCCTGCTCCTATCTAACGACACTAACATCTCAAAGGCGGCAAGGATGTCTGGTTCCATCTACTCAGAAAGCTGGCTCTATGGGTAATCTGGAAAAGGAGATGCTCCAAGACGATCGAAGGAACTGAAGTGCCAAGAGAAGAAATGTGGGCTCTACTGCTGAGAATGGCTGAAACAGAGATTCGATCCAGATGGAGAGAAGTGACCATGACGACGAAAGGCAGACCAGAAAAGATAGCCACAAAGAGACGCAAATTCATAAGGGACTGGCTTTTACAGGGAAAGATCGCCACCGTGGTGGACAACAAGATGGTTTGGAAGAAGTGGCACAACACAAGAACAGGGACCCAGTGAAGAGCTAACTGAGATTATAATCTCAACAGCCTAGACAACCCTCCCCTTTTCTTGCTTTATATGTAGTATCTGGCAGAGATAGCATAGTCTCTGAGAGGAAAAGAGGTAGGGCAAGCTGACAGTCAATCCTCCGGATAGGGAGTAATCAATGCTGGTCAGGGATCCTTCGGACGGACGGAAGGAAGCGTGAGGGTGTTCACCATGTATATCATTTTCGACTTGCCGGTGGAAAGGAACCGGACTGACGCTCCCCAGAATGGATATGGAGCCAGGACCATAAGGACCTGTTTAAAAAAAAAAAAAAAAAAAAAAAAAGGGGCCCAAAAAAAAAAAAAAAAAAAAAAAAAAAAAAAACTTCAAAAATTTTTCAAAAAGCTAGATGACCTTTAATTGCTACAGCGTAGCCTCCATTTTCAATACAGCAATGTGAATGTGTTGATCACATATAACGTTAATTAGGAATGCCAGCTAAGCTGCTATTGTGGCAATGTGGCATGCAATTGTCCCCATGCATTGAAAATGTTGGACTCCTCCAAATGCACCTGGTCCAGAAACGCATCCAAATGCATGTGGAATGTTGAGTTGTGGAACAAGGCCCAATGCCAACTTTAGTACTCATGAGACAGTAGTTTTCAATACAGCAATGTGTTGATGACATATGATGTTAATTAGGAATGCCAGCTAATCGTGGCAATATACCACCATATGTGCATGTTCATTGACAGCGGAATTGCAGTTCGATTCATTCAGGAGTCAGGACATATCATGTGGTCTTTAAACTAGAAAAGGACAAAGCAGAATCAATGGCGCCTTTCTCAATGACATGAATCAAATGAACGACATTAGTAAATTGAACAACATGAATAAACTTCAATAAACTGAATGACATGAGCCTGGGTACTGTTCCCCGCATAGAACACCCCGTGCGATATGCTGAAGCGAAAAATCCGGAACCTGGGAATCCAACCCATAATCGCGGCAGCGTCCCCTGCTAAGTTAGTAGTATAATAGCTAAGTAGTGGGAGGCATATTGACAGAAAAGAATATAGGTTAGTTATAAAAAAAAAAAAGAAAAAAAAAAAAAAGGAATGAGATGAATGAAATTGAATATGACATGAATATGACATGCATGAAAATAAATATGACATGAATCTGAAATGAAAATGAATATGACATGAAATTGACATGAATGTTTTCTACAGAGGAATGATTTCTGAGAAGTCCTGCCCTCTCCCCTTTGCATACATTGTCCTCTCTCTTTTTTTTTTTTCTTTCCTTTCCTTTCCTCTCCTTTCCTTTCCTTTCCTTTTTGGGCTTCTTTTTTTCCGATTGCGGCCTGCAAAATCCTCAACGTCTTTTCGGTATTTGGGTAGAGGAAGCAGTGCTTCATCATTGCTCCTTTTTGGCTTTCAATGCGGTGGGAAGATCCATTGCAATGTCCGTGTCTGCATTGCTAGTGTGAAAAAAAATGCAATGGTGAAGTCTTTTGTGAACACGAATGCGCCTCCCAAGTCACTCACTAGCAGGCATTTCTGACATGGAGTGCATTACGATACGAGTTGCAGCGGCGAGTCATCGGTTTTTTTTTTACCACTTTGTATTATTTTTTTCAACGGTGTCTGCTTTTGCATATGTGATCTGGTTCGTGTTGTCCGTTTCCATTCTTTATTTGAATTTTGAATGTTTTGTATTATTTTTTTGAATTTATTTCCGTTTTCTCGTCTTTTGTTTTTCTTTTTCTTTTTCTCCTCTGGCAAATGCTTTAACTTGGTTTTTTTTTTTTTGGTGTGTGTGTGTGTGTGTGTGTGTCACCAATTGCGCTCTGCAGGTTGGGATACCGGTTGCAGCAGGAGCTCTGTTGCCTGCAACAGGTTTGATGCTCACCCCTTCGGTTTCTGGGGCGTTGATGGGGATAAGCTCGCTTGGTGTGATGTCCAACTCTCTCCTCCTCCAATTAGATAACCGATTGAGAACAGGAAATGCAGCAATGTCTTCAATAGACGCGATTCAGATGTTGCCACACGCTGCTGGTAATGCTGCTGGTCGGAGAAGGATCGTACCTGTAGAGTCGGCAGATGAGGAGAAAAACACTGACGAGGCGGACCTTGAGCAAGGACCGAGTGCCGGAACATCTCCGATGCTCCCAGGGTCCAAAGCATTCGGTGGTCGTTCGGCATAGGGAAAGCGGTGTGTAATTTGCAGGGCCGGTTGATGGCAGGATAGGAAAAGGAAGGGAGGGAGGAGGAAGAGAGAAGGAAAAGCGGTAGGAGAGAAGGAGAGGGGAAACAAAATAGGAGGGCAATACAGGGAAAGTGGCGGATGTGACCAAGGGAAACAGACGGAGAGAGAATGACTGGAAGAGAGGGACGGAGAGAGGGGAGGCGCGCACAG